GAGACGGTCGAGTGGTTGGGTCTTTTGCTTACCTGAGAGTAGCACATCCAGGCCAAGGACTAGGCTGAGCAAAGCTTCAAGGTGGGCCCAGGTCTCATGTACAGTCGAGAGCCCAGCACCGCTGTCTGTGAGTGATGGGTTGGTGCAGAAGCCCAAGGAAAGAGGCCACCTCTGCATTCCCTCAGGGATCTGGAGTCGAGGTGGACCAGCAGGACCAGCAGACAGCTGCACTGACAGGGAACCAGGAGCTGGAGAGCAAACTGCGGTCTGTGCGGCCAGACTGGAACCCCTGAGAACCAATGGGACCGAAAGGACCAAGGGGAGCCCACCCTGTCTCTGCTTCCCAGGTCGATGCACAGGGCTGCTCGCTGCCTGTGCCCTCTGCTGCCTTGCTGCCGGGCTCGGGCTCAGGACAGAGCAAGGAGGCCTGGCCCAGCTGCAGGACCTAGAGCCTGGCAGCTCCGCCACACCTCCAAAGTGAGCAACGGGGCGGCAACAGCAGCGAGTGCCTTACAGCCTGGCACCCAGAGAGACCTGCACAGCACCTGGCTGCTGTTTTGTTGCGCCCTTGCCATCTCACACCACAGGCCAAGGGAGCGGGGAACCAAACTGGACCTGAAAACCACAAGCAGGAACATCAGGGTGCCAGTGTGGCCGACAGCAGTGAGCTTGGGGGCAATAGTAAGTGTATTTTGAGCTAAGCATAGCGGGGCATTGACATGATTTCCCTGGGCTTGTCTGGAACAGCCTACTGAAAGCTCAGCTTTCTGCACTGAGCAAGTGCCTTCAAAGGACAAAGGAGTAAGGGCGGAGGGGTAATGAGCGGCACTGGCAATTAAAATTTTAAATAAAACTAGAAATTCCCTTTGGGTGTCTAACCAAAAAGAAATGATTGGTTTCTAATGACAACACGGGAGTCCTGGGTTTAGGCCAGAACAGAACTCAGTTCACAAAATAGGATCAAGCTGTGGGTTAAGGAAGTTCCCTTGCAGCTTTCTTGGTAATGTTCCAGTTCATATAATTTCACAGAGGTCTAAAGCATTATTACATCTTGCAAAACATCCATATAGTACTACCCTGATTCCCTTTCTCAGTGCTGGGGCAACATCCATAAGATAAAGTCTGCCTACGCATTACCAAGGATGTATGTGCTCTTCCTTTCTATACCAATTTAACAGAATCCCACTAGCTTGTTGCCACTGCTACAGGCCTCCTGTACACTTCCCAGCCTCCCCTGCAGGTGTGCATGGCCTTGGGGTTAAGTGCTGGACAGTGCTGGGCAAACAATGTTTTGTGAGATTTCACAAGTCTCATTGAAATCCAACCTTAAAACCCAAAAACAAATACTAAGTAAGAACATATTGGACATCTTTCTTTGAAAATCAGGACCAAGCCAGGCATATTGATGTATCTCTGCAATCCCAGCCCTCTGAGAGGCTGAGGCAGGAAGGTCACAAGCTGAAGCCCAGTCTGGATAAATCAGTGACTTGGTGAGACCTTGTCTAATAATAAAAATTTTAAAAAGGACTGGGTAGGAGGGGGGCAGGTCAGAACCAAAGTAAAGATGCCTGCCCTCATCACACATACTCAGTGTTACGAAAAGATCATATGTGATACATTAAGTCAAGAAAAACACGTTAAGGATTAAAAAGACAGGGCCAGGGATTTAGCTCAGTGGCACCGTGCCTGCCTTGTAAGCACAAAGTCCTGAGTTCGATCCCAGTACCCCCAAAAAGGATTAAAAAGATAATAAAATACATTATTTGTGGATGACATAATTATCTACATAGAAATGCCCAAAGAACCTAAAAATGAATAATGAGATGTAAAAGATTTTCACTTCCATACACGAGAATATGAAAAAGCATTATTTACTTATTTATTTATTTATTTTTTGGTACCGGAGATCGAACGCGGGTCCTTGGGCTTGTGAGGCAGGTGACAGAACCACTGAGCTAAATCCCCGGCCCTATTTTTTTAATAAATATCGATATTATTTATTTAAACTATCACAAAACCACAAAAGTTCTAGGGAAAAATTTAACAATGTAAACATGTATACATTAAAAATAGAATTTTAGCAAAAATATTAAGTATCTAAATGGATAGTCCATCTTTATGAATAGATAATTTATCCAAACATTTTAATTTTCTCAAAATTGATCTACAGATGAAGTCAGTTGTAGTCAAAATCCCAAAGAAAAGGTTCTTCACAGAACTAAGTTGATTCTAATATATATGGAGAAGCAAAGGGCCAAGGATAATGAGATTTATTTTCCCCTGAAGTACAGAGGGTCGAATCCAGGGCCTCACATGAGCTCTGTATGCCCCAGTTCTTTTTTTATTTTAAGACAGAGCTCACTAAGATGCCCAGTCTAGAGTTGAACTTGTGATCCTCCTGCCTCAGTCTCCCAAAGTCCTGGGATTACAGGAGTGCACCACCGTGCCTGGCTAATAACAAAATTTTTTTGAGGAAGAAAAGTGATTTACAAGCTCAAGGCCCTGAGTTTGATCCCCGGTACCAAAAAAATAAAGTGATTTATCTTAGTGAAGAGAACGCTTTTTTATATAAAGTCACAGTAACTAAGATAGGGTGATATCAGTGCAGGAATAAATGAACTGCCCAGTCAGAGCAGGCAGCCCAGAATTAATGTAACCTAGGCATATTTGAAATTTTAAGACAGGCTGAAAATAGAGAAGTGGGGAAAGGAAAGACCAAGTAACAAATGGGGCTGAAAAATTGGTTATCCTTGTGGGAAAAATGAAACCAGATCTACGTCACACCATATACAAAGATCAAACCTAGAAGGCCTAGGAGCCTAAATGCCATAAACAAACTTATAACCTTTAAAGGAAAATATAAATGAATATCTTTCTGGCTTTAGGAAAGGGAAGCATTTCCTAAACAAGACACAAATATGTGCTAAGCATTGAGACAATATTCACTGCTTCAGATACATTTAAATTAGTCATCAAAATGTGTCAGCAGAAGACACTGAAAAGAAAATGGGAAAAAATTACAATTGAAAGTTATTACAGCACAAAGCATTAGCATGCAGACAATACACGTATTCCCACAAACTATTAAGAACTAAACTGCGAAGCATTCAAACAAGCATTAAATAGAGGAAGGAATACATACAGCTAATATACAAGAAGCATTCTTCAACCTCATTGTCAGAGAAATATAAAACAACTTCTCAGAGATAAGTTTAAAATTATCAGAGATTGCAGCTTCCATCTATTTATAAAACTTTAAAAAGATGACAATAAAAGTTTGGAGGGAATGTGAATCTGTGTAATGACATTTCTGGAAGAATGCAAATTACTCTAACCCCTTTGGAAGATCACTTGTCTTTATCTTGTAAAGGTGTTTATGAATTCCACATCTAAATGTTTACCCAAGAGAAACATTACACCTGTGTACTAAGAGATAGGTAGATGAGTGTTCATAGCAGGAAATATTTCCTTAGGAAAACAAATAGAAAGAAACATTCCAAGTATCTATTGGCAGAAGAAAGTATAAGCACATTTTAGTAGAGTCCTACAATGGACTACAATAGAGGTAGAAATTAGTGAACAACATAGATATCTAGAGAAATGCTGAGTGAAAAGAGGGAGCTCAGAAAACTAAACATGGCCTGATATGACTTCTATTACCTGAGGGAACCTAATTACGTATTGTATAAGTATTCTAGTATATTTTGCAAATACATTTTTTAAAAGCAATGGAATAAGCCAGGTGTGATGGGCCACGCCTGTAATCCCAGCATTCTGGGGGCTGAGGCAGGAGGATCACCTGTGATCTGCGTGAGAGAAACAGACAGTGAGGATGGAGGGGAGCTTTGTCTTTTCCTTGGATCAAGACAATGTAACAGGGGTGATGGGCTAGTTCTTGAATGTGGGTCTCCTGGGTGTTCATTATCAGATAGATTAAAGTGGAAAAGGCCAAGGATGCATAGACCAATGATGACAGAGCACTATAAATCAAGACTTTTTATTACTTGCATTCTGTGCGCTTGAACCCTATTAAAAAGAAACAACACTGTGAGGTCCATGCCAGGACTCTCCCTGAAGCCCACCCGCCGGGCAGTGCAGTCCTCTGCACACTCTCAGCCCTGACTGAGCTGGCACCGCTTCCAGCAGCTTCTAAGGACAGGGGAAGATCCCGAAACCCTGGCTGGGAACTGTAGGAAAAAACAAAGCGTGTCACTAAGGCTGCTTGGAGGCAGTTTTTCATTTGTTTAGTTTTGAATCTGGTTCCAAGTGACTCATTTAAATTCTAGGGGAAAATAAAGAAAAAGGAAGAGAGGGAGGGAAAAAAGAAAAGAGAGAAGGGGAGAAGAAGAAAAGAGAGAGGAGTTCTGTAAAGTAAATCATTACGGAAAGTGCCAGTGTTTGTTTTAGGTCATGTTTGCATTGCAATGTGCTTTGCACCCTCTTCGTGTGATTCCTTATTGATATTTTCTTTATAACTTTAAACAGCCCTCTGTTTCCACACAGCAACATAGAAAGGGATTTTGATTTGGAGATAGCATTAAAAAACACAGGTGCATGCCTGTGATCCCAGTATGGGCAGCAGGATTGTTGAGTTTGAGGCCAGTCTGAGTACCTGTCTCGAGAAAGGCAAAAAGAAAAGAAAAGGTAGTTTGGGAGGCTAGAATGTACGTGTGTTTTAATTTTTTTTTTCCCATACTGGGGATTGAACCCAGGACCTTGGCACTGAGCTACATCTGCGATCCTTTTTAATTTTTTTTATTTTGAGGCAGAATCTCATTAAGTAACCCAGGCCAGGCTGCAACCTGGGATCCTCCTGCCTTCACCTCCCAGGATGCTGGAATAACATGCACGTAGCACCACGCCCAGCTCACATGTGCTTTTTAAAAAAATTAATTTTATTGGTACATTTAAGGTATACAATATGACATTCATCATTGGAAATTTGCACCTTTATGTAATCTCTCTTGGTTCTTATTTCTTCCCCTTCCCCTGCCCTCCCTTCAACCCTTCCACCCCTTGCTATCTACAAGGACTTTGTTTCCATTTTTTTCTTTTTCTCATATTAATCCCATTCCTTTCACATGCACTTTTAAAGCAAGTACGCAGTGTCCACGGTCAGACGAGGGCCTTCACAGGGTCACTGGTGATGTGGAAAGAACCAGACTTGACAATGGAAGGAAGGAAAACCCCTTCTGTGAATCTCCTCTTGCAACTAGCTTCGCAGACAAGAACCTGTTTCCAGGTCGGGGATTTAGCTCAGTGGTTCCGCCGCCTGTCTGTAAGCAAGGTCCCGAGTTTGATCCCCAGTACCAAAAAAAAAAAGAACCTGTTTGCTCATCTTGGAACCGAACCAAGACCTCATTATTCCCTACCTCAGGTCCGTGCATGAAGAGAAAGATGAAGGCGCTGGAGGGGACAAGTGGCCATGCACGTGCACGGTGTTTGCCTCCACTTCTACCATTCGTACCATGGGCCTGCTACTTATAATGTGCATGGAGTTGAGAGTTCTTTACTTTTGCATTTCTCACAGGAATCATCAAATCATAGCAGATGTTTGATGTCAAGTCCCTAATCAGAAACCCAACTCCAAATTTGTAACTTGGATCTCATGATAAGAAATATAATCCATTTTGCTTTACGATGATCCAAGTTATGTGACGTTTTCTAGAAAAATTGTATGGTGATGACTGAGGATTGTGTCACTGCGATATTGATTATATTGTCAGGAAAAGCAAGTATGAAATACACATTTGGGCTTCACCTTACACTGCACATGTTTCCTGAAACTCAGCCCCATTACCATTTCAGAGGCTCTGATCTTCACTTCTGCTTGATCACCCTTCAAGGGTGGCACTCCCAAAATGTCAGCTCTAAATTTCTCTGCCCTTTAGCTTCTCTGACAAGTAAGTTAACAGTCTGCAGATAAATCCTTCAGTGTCCTCAGGAATCCTGTGAGAAGTTGCACACCATCCTTTCTAGGGGGTAGCAAACCCCTAGGAGCCCAGGCTGTCCTACATGGGGAAAAAGCACCCCCCGAAATCTTTCTCTCTTATTTTTCCCAGAAGAGTAGGAGGAAGATCTAAAATAGTTAGGTCTGGCAGCTTAATCTGGGTTGGCTGCCTCTGCCAGCAATCTGTAAAAATGTGTTTTTCAAGGATAAGAAGTTTGGGCCTTGGGCCAACACTCATGTCTGTCATCTGCAAGGAGATAAACAATCCCTTTAACCCAGCACTACGCTGTTTACCCCTGTGCTTAAACAGGAGCACCATGCCTTCCACAGGCTGGGCCGAGGCTGCCCTGAGTTGATCCTCTTTCCACGCAGAGCCTCCTGAGTCTGCCCTCTGGCTGAACACAGCAGAGCCAGCCTTTTGTAAGATGAAACGGTAGACTAGCATCCATTCCCCGTGTCAGTATTTAGTCTTTTCACATTGCCTAACGGATGGGGACTTGAAGTACTCCTGTTTTTAACGCCTGCAAAGGTCATTCCCTAAGAATCAGAAGAATATATACACGTCCAAGGGTACCTGTGACTGCCAAGCACTGAGAATCTTTGGGACAGGAATTCTTCAGTAGAGTCAGGCGTGGTGGTGCCCACCTGTAATCCTAGCATTTGGGAGGCTGAGGCAGGAGGATTGCTTCAAAGTTGGAGGCCAGCATGGGCTACATAGGCAATTCAAGCCCAGTCTGAACTACATAGCAAGAACTTGTCTCAAAACAACAGCAGAGCCAGGGATTTAGTTCAGTGGTGCCACCGCCTGCCTTCCCGAGTTAAATCCCGGGTACAAAAAACAAACACACCTGCCACTTATTCATGCAAAACTTCACTTCAGCATAGATCAGCTAGAGCCAAAATACTCTGGGTGTCCTTAAGGGAACATCCATTAAGCCATGTTTCCTGTTTCCTGTAGAACACAACTTGATCCATCCCTGCCCTGTTTCTCTTTCTCTGCCGCCCAGGGAAGCTATTTCCTCAGTGGTGGAAAAGCAGATGGTCCTAACTCCTTCAGCCACTGCACAAGGCAAACGCTTCAGAGGAGGCTGGGCATGGGCTAGGCTTGTCCTCCCAGGCCCACCTGGCCTCGAGGCAAATGGACAGGCCTAGCTGAGAGAGAACAGTCACCTCCCCCCAGCCCACTTCTCCAACAGAGTACCGGGATCTTAGGAGGACGGCCCTGTAGCTGGGGTGGGGTAAGAAAAATAAGAGAAGCCATAGAATCTGCTTAATTCCACCTGAAGTTTGTTTGTTTGTTTGTTTGTTTGTTGTTCCGGGCATCGAACTTGGGACCTTGAGCAGGCGCCGGAACCACTGAGCTAAATCCCCAACCCTCCACCCGAAGTTTGGACACGAAAGCTGTAGCTTTGAACTTGTAGGTAAGATGAGCCTTTCTCTTCTCAGGTCAGGCCCTGCAGAGCCCACACGGCCCATGACCCGGGCGATGCCAATCACCCCTGCTGCCTTACAGCGTTCATCCACGTAATCCCTCACTTCTGGGCCCCCTCCCCAGAGCTCCAGTCTGGCCAGGAGGAACCCCTGGAGCTCTGATGGGTCATCAGGGGTGGTAGAGAAAGGCCCCACCCTTCTGGGGTGGCCTTGCGGCAGTGATAGGGCCCAGGTTAGGGTAAGAGCAGGCCTACGGGGCAGTCCGACACCCTGGTCACGCGCCTTCCCCAGGCTCCAACTCTCCACCTGCCAGCTAGAGGAGACGAGATGAATGAAAGTCTCTGTGGCTTGGTGTGCCTGTGGCTGCTTCTCCCAGATCCCCGCAGAGCCCGGTGCTCTTCAGTCCACAGTCAGGCGCAGGCTCGAGGCAAGGGTGAGGGATTGGGCTGGGTCGGGCTCCTCCTGACTCCGGGAGCCAAAGACAGCCATCGAGGGGCGGGGCTTTATACACTGCTTGGCCAGCAGAAGTGAGTAAGGTGTTGGCAGTGTTGATCCTGGAACCCTGCCAGCTGGACGTGCCAAGCAGGCCAGGTGGAATTCGGGCATTTCTCACCAGAGGAGCCGGAGTGGGCTCTGGCTGTGCCAAAGGTGCTGAAGATTTGCTCCTTGTTTGTTTTGTTCCAGTATGGTGAGCACTGCAGCCAACCCCAGCGACCCAGCCAGGAACCCTCGCTTCCCATTCATTGCTTGGGCAACACCTGAAAGGAAAGTTTCTTCACCAAGCAGCCAGCCTGGGCTTCTCTGTGGGGAATTTCACACGCACACGCATGCACAAACACACACGCACATGCACACACGCACACACCCTGCACCAGAGAACACACATCGCTTTGCATAAGTGTGAACCTTAAGGGACTCCTGCCTCTTAAATGTACTGCATCTTTCTCTCGTGTTCAGCGCTACTTTTAAGACTAATAGTTGTTTTGCTAATGAATTTCTGCCCATTTTCAAAGTTTAGCTCCAGGGCCTCCTTCTACCCATCCTGCAGTCCTTTGTCACCTCTGTGCTACAGCTGAAGAGCACAGCCTTGCAATTATCTATGGACTTCCGTCTCTCTGCCAGGCCCTGAGCAGATTCTCAAGGGCATGCACTGCATGCTGTGGGGCTTCCATCCCCAAAACAAGGCCTCAGCCATCAATTCAGGTACATTTTTCTCAACTCTTTTTTTAAGGTACTGAGGATAGAACTGAGGGCCTCTGCACTAAGCTACATTCCCCACCACTTTTCTTTAGTTTTTTGAATTTTTTTTTTAAATTTTGAGACAGGGTCTCACTAAGTCATTAAATGATCCAGGCTGGGCATGAACTTGGATCCTATTTCAGCATCTCCAGAGAGCTGGGATTCCAGGCATGAGCCACCACCCCAGCCCTCAGCCATCTCACCTTAATTTTTATGGCTTCGATTCTCTTACTTAGAGCTCATCTATGTCACTGAATGGTGATGCTGAGTCATATGGGGTTAGAAACCAGTGCTGACATGCTGATACCCTGGCTACTGCTGCTTCTGGGAGTAACAGACTGTTTTCTCTGACTCAGGAGTCTCATGTCTTCTACCAGCATCTGTGAAACTGGCGGGTCAACCACTTCACCCACAAGTCGGATGGGGGAAGCAGGGTGTGGAGAGGCCTGGGGCCCTGGAGAACAGCAGCTCCGGGGCCTGCTCAGAGAGCACGGTGACTGTGGCAGTGGTGGCCAGCAGCCCTGTCCTGCAAGCTTCTGCTCAAATGTCACCTTACCAGAGTGGGTCCCCTGGCCATCCCGTCTCACAGGGCATCTGCTGTCACCTCTGTGGCTTTATCTTGATTTCCTGTCCTTCACACTTATACCACATGTCATTTCCTGTATTTATTTGTTGTCTGCATTTCCCTACATGACTGTGAATTCTGTTGGAGAAGGGGCTTCAGTTTGCTGCTGTGATGCTGCCACTTAGGACAGTGCTCTGCACAGAAGGTTAGGCTGTCAAACCAGAAAGTTCTCTCGGTCCCTTCCAAGTCCTCACCCCCAGGTCACCACTATTCTGATGTCTAGGATTATCTTTGCTGATCCCTGAACTTCATATAAACAGGATGTGTTCATATGAACATACCAAACAGATGTCCTTGTCCGTGTCTTTGCATTGCTGTGTGTTTCAGGAGCTTGCTCTTCTTTTATAGCTGTAATATTCCATTTATGGATATACCACCACTTATGGATATACCACAGTTTGTTTATCATTCTTCTGTTGATGAGCATTTGTGTTGTTTAGAATAAAGTTGCAATGAATTTTGTTGTTGCTATTGTTTTGGCAGTACTGGGTATTAAACCCAGAGCCTTCTCATTGAGTTATATCCCCAGGCCCTTTTAACTTTTTTATTTTGAGACACTCTCACTAAATCACTGTTATGGCTATCTAGATATCCACCCCCTCAAAGCCTCCTGCAATCATAGGTGGGGCTTTCCAGAGGTGGCTGGATCTAGGGTGTACTAGGATTATGGGTATGGTACTGCATTAGTCCACTAATTGGTTTATCATAGTTCTGGGTGTCGGTAATGGGAAGCCCCACCCTTTGTGTGGGAGGCACCACCCAAAAGGCTTATAGTTTGGGTGGGATAAAAAGGAGAAAGGGAAGGCAAGCTTGTTGCTGCTGCTTGCTGCTTCCTACTACCCTGCCATGGACCCTTTCTCCTCTGCCATGCCACCCTACTTTGGAGCCAGCTGAGTATGGGCTGAAACCTCTACAAACTATGAGCTGAAATAAGCCTTTCCTCCTTTACCTTGTGTGTGTCAGATATTTTTCTTCATCAACAAGAAAAGTAATTAAGGTAGTCACTACATTGCCCAGGTTGGGCTTGAATTTACGATCCTCCTGCCTCAGCCTCCCAGAATTCTGGGATTACAGATATGCACCACTAAGCCTGGCTGCAATGATCTTTCTTGTACAGATATTTTAGTCCCCACTTAAGTTTTACAATTCCAGGGACACAATGATGTGTGTCCCTATGTGTGATTAAAGGGAAACCTCGACAAGGCCTTGAGTGAGCTGATGGTCTGAGATACCCTGGAGGATTATCGGACCGAGGGGTACAGGACTGGAACTCAATTCCCAATGACCCAGGGTGACATCACCTCAATCATTCTACCTACTGAGAAAAGAAGGTTTGGGGAGGACACATGTCTTTGATGCACAATCCTTTTTGTGCACCTAACATGACTTTTATATCCTTGACAAGAGCCTGGGCTGGAGAATGAGCTAGAACCAGGACATGAGTCCACAGGAACAGCCATGTAGCCCCATGTTAAGGAAATGTTTTCACTTCTGTGTAATCATACCCAGGCTGTAAAGCATCTTTCACTATGATTCCAACGAAAGAGGTGACCTCCTCATTTCTGCTAGACAACCTCTCATCTGACAACCACACATCATCCTCACAGACCCTGTTTCCCTTCTATCTCCTTTCCCAAATGTTTCTGACCTCCCAGGCCACTCTACTAGTAGAAATTCAGAGGTTCCTAATGCCAGGCTCCTTCTCAAGCATCGAGTTTTCAAAAGAGAAAGAGAATCCTCACTGATCAGGAGCATGCTGTGTGCTGAACTGTGTGAGGCAGTTTGCATCCATTTAACCTTTGACAGATGAAGAAACAGAAGTGCAGCGAGGTTGACTGGTTTGCCTAAAGTCATGCCTTTTTAGTTACTTTCTTGCTGCTGGGACAAAATACCTGACAACCACCTGTTAAAAGAGGAAAGGTTTATTTTACTCCCAATTTGTAGAGGTTTCAGTCCATAGTTGGCTGACTCTAAGGCAGGGTGACATGGCAGAGGAGAAACAGTCCATGGCAGACATGGTAGCAAACCTGCCTTCCATCTTTTCCTTTTTATTCCATCCAGGCTACAAACCTATTGGTTGGTGCCACTGACACCCAGGGTGGATCTTCCCTCTTCGGGAAGTCCATCATCCACACCCAGAACTATGCTAAACCAATTAGTGGGCTAATCTAGTATCACATATCCATGATCCACATTCCCCAAAGCCCCACCTATGAGGTCATGAGGCTTTGAATATAAGACATAAGCCTTAACAGATACATTTGACTTTTGCTCACAGCACTGAGTGTGACTGAGGTGCTGTCCCCTGGGAAGGAGCTAAAGAGAGCAGCTCCAGGCAGGCTCACAGAAAGGTCTGGAAGCATCAGCTCCATCTCCCTCCCTCACCCGGAGTCTTGTGGCCCTTGGTAGCAGGTATCCTATAATTTGGTGTGTTATAATTTCTAAGGATAGCAGATCAGACTCCTCTCCTGCCTGCCTAGAACACTAAAGCCTCCAGGGAAACAGACCTAGAAAATTATTTCAGAAAGCAAGAGGCTTGTCCCTGGATGTGCCCAGTGTCACAAGTGCCCTATGCAGTCAGCACAAGGTACTCTGAGGCTGGGCGAAGCTGTGGAGAGGAGCCAGCGAACGAGCTGCAGCAGATCATTCTGGAAAAGGAACACGGCTTCAGGAGGGGGCGTGGGGACAAAGGTGATCAAGGCTTCCCTCCCCTGGCTTCGGCTCAATCTCAGAACACTTGAGGTCAAGTCCTCTCTAAGACACTGTGTATTGCACCCATCTTAAGGGGGTCGGAGGCACTGTGGATGGGGGACCCTCTTCTGAGACGCTCTCCCAGGAAGCCTCCCATCCCTGGAGAAGTCCGAAGACCTTCAGCCTCTCCCTTTAAGGGACAAAGGGCACTGGCGGTGGAAACTTAGCCCAGGGAGTGTGGATTCCAGCTGCTACTGAAGAGGGGAAGGGCGAAGTGGCCACACCCCGAGAGAGGGGCTCCCAGGAGGCCAAGCGCCCAGTACCCGCACCGCGGGGCGGGGGCGGGGCACCTGGAGCCCTGCGTGGTTTTCCCTTCCACAGAAGGGAAAAGGCTCTGAATATTGGCCTGGTGCCCAGAATGGAGGCTGCAGGGAAAATAGGGACAGCTGCTCACCCAGACCAGTGAGCCTGGCAAGGGCCGGTCATGGAGGCACCAAGAAAGAAACGGAGCCCGGCTCTGCTCCCTGAGGCCGGTCCTTTAGGTGGCCAGAACCACCCCACCCCACCTTTAAGGCTCCGCTAACGAAGAGCACTGGCCTGGCTTCCTGCACACATAAATCAGAGACTCGGGACCTCCAGCTGCCGGGGAGTCGGGCAGGGGTGACACACAGTCCTTTTGGCCCTGGCTCGGTTGCTCCGCCCATCCGGAGAGGCTGCGTGGCCTTCGCAGTCCTCCTGGCAACTGCTGGCCTTGGTTGTGGTGGAAGAGTCCAGAACACCAGCCACGTCCCCGGCTGCACACCCCCTACGTTTGCCCCAAGCCCTGGAGCTAGGACCTTACCTCCCTTTCACACCCCCAGCAGCCCTGACGACAGGCAGGTACTTGGGAAATATTTACAGCCTGGTTAATAACCAGCTCTGTCAGATCCTGTGATTTGGGGTCCAACAAACCTGGTTCCAATTTGAGCTGTCGCCTGCTGGCTGGGAGACTCAAAAGATGCCTCAGCCTCTTGAAGACTTCACATTCCTGGGTACAAAATGTGGCTGATGCTTCACAAAGCCAGGGAAGGATTAAACAAAGCAGCATATGGCAAGCAGGAGGGGGCCAATGAAGGAGAGTTCCCTTCATCCACCCAGCTGGAGACCCCATCACTCCCCAGGGAGAGGAAGAGAAGCCAGCTGCACCTGTCAGGGCAGGGCCCTGTTGGTTTTAGGGTCACATCTGTCACTGTTGGGGTGGGGGGGCTGTGAATGGTGCATCTGCTGGGCCCCAAGTGCGTGCTCGGGAGAGGCCTTCTGCCTCAGCTGTTGCCCTGACCTGGGGACCATGTGTGCAGGCCCATTTGCACCCAGTGTGGCATGAGCCTGGCTCTGCAGCCCAGCTCTGGGATGCCTGCTTTGTGACACTTGCTAAGCTCCTCCCAGCTCTTCAGCCTCCTGCCTGCAGGAGAGGAGGAGGAAGGGGGGCGATGGGTCACCCCAGAAACCCTGTTTGGAACAACTGAACTTCCTAGAGGGTTTCAGGGACAGTGTGGAGCCATTTAATGCGTGGCCTTTTCTGATGAGAAGGAATTTTAAGAGCTGCTTGCCCCAAATCTAAACAAACCCCACGATGATTCCTTCTCGTGGGATCCCTTGATTTCCATCACCTGATCCATCAGCAGATGTGCATGTCACTAGGTCACCTGATGGTTTGCAGAGCACACTTGGGCTCATTATTTCCTGCACTCCTCACCACATGTCCTGCAAGCAGCCAGGAAACATGTTCTTAGCCCCATTTTCTAGATCAACACATTGAGTCTGAGAGAGGTTGGGCAACTTGCCCAAGGTCATGCAGCCTAGTGTTGTGTCTCGTCACTCTCCTCAGCAATGGGACGCAGTCCCTGACACGCACTCGGTCTTTAAAGGAGGAGAGTTTACTCTGGCTCATGTTTTAGAAGTTTCAGTCTTTGCATGGTGAAAAGAAAGCTGTTCACAGCATGGCAGTCAGGAAGCAGAGGGAAGAGGAGAGGAGCCGGGGAGGGAGACAGGCTCTTCCAGCTCTTCCTGGTCTCAGATCCCTGCCCCTTCCTACCAGAACCCACTTCCTAACAGCAAGTCAGCTGTGGTGCCCCCATGATTCAGTCACCTTCCAAACCCCTGCCTGAGTGCCTGAGGCTCTTGGGGAACAGCCAGCTATAAACCCTAACACTGGAAGGACAGGAACCCATTCCCAAGGGGGACTCAGTGTTCTTCCCACTACAAACCAGGGAGGGGCAAACCCTGTTGTTTGGCCTCAAATAAGGTATGATCAAAATATACTGAGAATGTTTACTTTCTAAAAAAATGTTTTATACTAAAAGATACACTGCCATTAATCCCTCAAAGTACTCCCCCTCACTTCAAATGTAATTATCCCATCATTCTTGCAACTTCCTGCAGCAGTTCTGGAAGTGCTCTTTTGTGAGTGTCTTTACAAGGTGTGATAAAAAATACAGTGACTGCTGCTTCTGAGTGCCATCCAATGGAAAGGCGGGCTCCTAAAAACAAGATGCGGTGTCTTCATCTATCTGATTTACTGGGTCTGACACTATGCAACTTCTGGCTCTTCCTCAAAGTCAAAACTGTGACCATGAAAGGTCAACATTTTGAATCAGTTCAAGACATCGAGGCGACGAGATTGCAAGTAAAGACACTAAGGCCCTGTTTTTATAGCCTCATAATCACCTGCAAAGATCCCACTGCCAAAAACCACAGTTGAGTTAAGTTTCCACCTCCAACACC